TAAATGAAATTTGAAACCCAAAGTTTGAATGAGTATATCAGTGCAATTTTATGCACTCCATAGTTTTTTAATGTAATTTAAATTGATAATTGATATATATCGTACATCACAATATAGCCCAAATATATTGTGATTAGTGTTGCGCCGATGCATTTTTTTGGCCCCGTGTGTGTATATGCGTCAGATGCTTAAACGCGCCCGTCGCCCTGCTTCAGCTGCTCAGACGCGCTGAACCTGCTGCTTAAAACGCGCCGCGGGACCTTTTGCTGCGCATTGACGCGTGTCAACCATTGACTTTGCATGTAAACTCGCTGCTTCTGTCGCGCCTGCTGCGTCCGGTGTGAACGCAGCATAATACAAAGTGAATCCATTAGAACTTTTATTGCCTACCTGGAATGGGTGACAACAGTTGAATACACTTTTGGCTCCCAAAATGGTATCGCTGCACTATTTGTTGCTACTCACCGATAGTGATACCACCATTTTAGTCCTGCCCAATACTGGTATCGGTACTGGTGCAACACTACTGGTGAAATTAAGACTTTCTTCATATCGCCCGGCCCTAAAACATCATAGTTCACTCCCTGACAGAATAGATGGTGAAACAATGACACCAGCTCACCTTTAATGTTGTTGAGATGCTCCTTAAGATGGCCGAAGCTGTTCAGTAACGGGTCCTGTTCTTCATCCTGACCAAAGAAAGCAGGAAGAGCGTTTTAGGGCACGGCACCGTTCTGCTGTTCTGCCGAAGCGTTGGACTACAACCTACCAGCGACGTGTGGTTATTCCATCGGGAGTTTCTCTTAATGGCTCCAACAACCGTGGTTATTTCTCCTTGGACAATGTAGATGTTTTTGTCGACCATGCTGCTTCTCTAAGAGAGAAGAAGAAAACAAAGGAATTGTGTTTAGGCTTTGAACAAATGGCTTTAATTCAGCTTTCCTGCATTCTGACCATTAGATCCTGATTAATGTTTTGTTTCTTGTGTTGAAAATAGAATTTAAAAAGATAATAATAAACTCGGCTCTATGAGGAAATGTGATATGAATGAATATAAATAATGTTAATGCCAAAGAGCAGCTGGAGATCAGGATAAGGTCCGAAATCAAAGCCATAATCAAAACATTAATTCTGCATCTGGAAGGATATCCCATGCACCTTTTTTTTTTTTGACACATTCCTCATTCATTGTTCTTTGAGTATTTGAGCTGATTGTTCCTTATGTTCCTAACAGAGCACTTCGCTCTCAATCTGCA